GTGCTGGGGAAGATATGAAAAAATTAAAGCTTTCATACATTGCCAGTGGGAATGTAAAATGGTGCACCACTTTGGAAAGCAGTTTGGCAGTTCTTTAAAAAGTTAGGGTTATATGTGACTTAGCACTTACACTCCTAGGTATATAGCCCTTTTCTGATATTTGATCAACAGACATTCATGCAAATGTAAAAAAATTAAACATACATAAACACACATAAAAATTTCCAAGCGAATTGAAAACATGTCCGCACAAAACCTTGCACACAAATGTTCATAGCAGCATTATTCATAATAGCCAAGAAGTGGAATTGGCCCACATATTCAACAACTAAGGAATATCTATCTAGACAAAATAGGGTGTATCATACAATGAAATACTCTTTAGCCATAAAAAGAAATGAAATACTAATACATTCCACAACATACATGAGTCTTGAAAATATGATAAGTGAAAGAAGCATGACTCCAAAGACATATTATATGATTCCGTCTATGTGAAATGTCCCAGATGCGCAACCCCACAGGGACAGAGTGCAGATCAGTGTTTGCCTGGAGCTGGAAGGACAGGGGCTGGTAGCAGGGAGGAAAGTGGAATGAATGATAATGGTTATGGGTTTTCTTTTTCATTTGATGAAAGTGTTCTGGAATTAGAGAGTGGTTATGAATGCACAGCCTTGTGAATATACTAAAAAACACTTTAAAAGGGTGGATTTTATGCTATGTGACATATCTCAATGTTTAAAAAGAAATTAAGATTTCAGTTTTGAACATGCTGAGTTTCAGATGCTCATTTACTATCTGAATGTGTATGTCAAGAAATCAGTTCCGTTTATTCATTAGTACTTACGCTTCATTTCCAGAAATAATGAAAATAATTTTAATTGGTTCCTGCACTGATTCCTCTTTGGCGGCGGTGGTGTTTGGCCTTTATCCCACGACATGCACACATTTCTCAGGGTGCTTTTAGACAACTCTCCCTAAGGAGGCTTATCAATGCTTTTACCAGGACGAGCAGTACTACGTCAGTCACAACCACCTGCACTATGGATAATGAGTAATAATTGCAAGGATGTATTGAAATCAGCTATGCACCAGGCACTTTACATAAATTAACAATAATCTGCAAAAATCACTGCAAGTTTTACATTTTACAGATGAAGAAACTAAGACTCAGAGAATTTAAATAAAGTTTCCAAGGTTATGCAGTTTATAATTTTCAGAGCTACATCATAATACATTTAACATCACAGGGACTTATCCTCTCTTAGGAGATTAAAGCAGTGGTTATCTATCCAGGCGACATGTTAAAATCACTTTTAAAAACAGCAATAGTTAGGCACCTCGCTAAACCAATTCAGCCAGAATCCATGAGGGCGGGGTCAAGGAATTAGTAGTTTAATCTCTCTAAGAGATTCTAATTTACTAAAAGCCATTTAAGAGAAAATGAAGATCTGACAAGTTATAGTCTTTTGAATCTTTCAGAACACACACGTTTTAACATGCCCTTGATTTCTACTATAGAAATCATATTACTATATATTCAACTTAATCATCATGAAACATGTGGCTAACATACTCCTTGGTGATGGAAGGAGCCTCAACAGATCGTTTTTCTCTCCCCATGGAGTTTTTTGCTGAAAAGAAGTCTTATTAGCAATAAGAAAACTTTCCTATGACTCCACAATTAATTTCTTGTTGTAGGTCAGAAAAATAGTGTTAATCCTTTTGTCCCTTTATTAGTAGGAACATTATAATAGTCAAAGGCTCTCATAAATCATATATTATCTCATTTGAGGTGCTCATTAGGAAAAGGAAGAAAGCCACATGCTATGTAATTGAATTGTTTGATTTCTTTGGTCAATGATTAGAATTAAGTTTGCATATAGTCAATTTCAAGAAACAACATAAAATAGGTACCAAAAGGAGAGTTGGATAAACTATAAAGTTTTGATCAAAATAGATATTTTAATGAATTCAAATGTAAATGATAAAGGTTAATTTGCTCTTACAGTCTACCCATTATATCTGTATCTCCACATACTACATGATAGACTTGAAATATGTTATTGAATCGATCTATGACTACGTACATGTGTATGTCTATATGCTTATCTGTATTCTCAATAAAATTATAAATTCCTCGAGGGCAAAGAATCTCCTTTTACCTTTTTGTATCTACTGCTACTACCAGCATAGATCCGGGCACATGATAAATTGCCTAATAAATATTTGCCGTTTGCTTTCTAAATGTAACCTAAAATATCATTTGATGTTTTATTGGTTTCTTTATTCAACTGAACATAATAGTGAATTATAATCTGAAATCAAATTTATTCTTTTTCAAAAAAATATACTTTTTACAAAATTTCATTCTCATCCGTCTCATCTTCTTTCCTTATAGAAATGAATAGTTTGGAAGGCATCTCCAAAATTCAGGAATATATTCTAAGTAATTTGGAAAGGAATGAGAGAATAAAACGTCCACTTTTAGAGAGGTCTCCATGCAATACGCTGCAAAATCATTTATTGACCGAGAGCCTTGTTGGTCACGTTGTGCTCTGCACATCAGCATCACTAGTATCACATGAAAGCCTGTTATGACTGCAGAATCTCAGAGCCCACTGCAGGCATCCTAAACTAGAATCTTCATTTAAGTTTTAGAAGTAGTAACACACACTACGTGCCAATTTCTTGTTTGCTTATTTTTGTGCTTCAAAAAAAATTGGGGGGATGGGATATGGGTGTCCTCTCAGAGTTTTTTCTGCCTAGGGCATACTCCCAAGAAATATATTTTAACACTAAAACATTTGTTTAGGCATGAGCTAACAGAACTCCTAGAAAATGAAACTGTTGTGCTAAATAAAAGTTATCTGCGTAGGCCGGTGGAGAAAGGCACCATCTTATCTTGCTAACAATGATTTCTATGGTGTGGAGCTCCACAACGTTTTCCAGGGAATCTGAAATGCACTTCTGCTGTCTGCTCAACTGATGGCCAAATGAAGGACCATCTGCACTCCATAGTAATGGAGAATTTTCCTTGCCATCCCACATGGTTTTCTCTGTTCGTTGTCTTTTTTCTCCTACAACAATCTCCTTCATATCCGGTCTAAAGAAGGATAAAACATAAGTAGGATAAAACCAAATACTTAAACAGCCAGAACCCTCAGCCTTTCTTTTCTTTTTTCTTTTATTAATTCTAAGTGGTTCATTCTTCATTCAGAACCTCAAGGTAAAAGATTTGCTATAACAAAAAAACATAATCAATTGACCTGATATTCCTAAAATAAATTCATCAAAACACGTTTAATTATGAATTCTTTTAATGTTTCCCTCCTTCCATATTCTAATGTACAATAACTTCCAAATATTTCTGTAGTTTGGTATATAGAATAGTCTTTGAACTAAAAGTAGTTGAATAATCTTTGGACTAAAAGTAGTGAAGGAACACATTCTAATACTAACCCTTGCAATTGCTGGACATATGACCCTAAGAAAGTGATCAGTGTCCCTGGGCTCAGATTGCTCTCCTTAGAAATGACAGCGTTAGCATAGAAAATCTCTGGAACCTCCACCTCCATAATTCTATGATGCAGTATCGGCATCATTTTCATAAAGCTGCTGATAAGTCTAATTTTAATCCTCTTGTTTATGATACTAAATCAGAAAAAAACATGTTTTACACAGTATACGGTTGTGAAAAAATAAATAAATAAGAAGAACATTTAAGATTTTTATCCCATTTGCTGAGAAAGGTTGATCTGTATCAATAAATGTTTGCAGGTGAACAGTAACTAATGCTTGAATACAATACTTCCATGAATTAATCATGTCTGCCTTTTCACAGCAGCAGACTGTTCAATGCTTAGTTAACCCCCAGCTAGTTCTCACTCACAGACTGAATTTCTGAGAGTGCAATTGATTATTTGAATTGACATTCACAATCCCGAGGCACCTAAATGAGCAACAGGTTATGAATATTATAGGGAGAATTTATTTTCCTCAAAGCCTGCTCTGAATTCAGAATTTTATTGAATGTGCCGAGAGCAGTGAGGCAACGCCATAGTCAGCCCACTGGGGAGGAGGGAAATGAATGAGAGCCAAGTGAGGACTCCAAGGGGAGCAATAAACAAATCTGTCCCACTTACATTCAATTTGAAGAGCAATATGTAACATCTCCAGAGTCTTCATTGACCTTGATATCTCAGTTAATTATTGCCTCCAGTTCTGGAGTTGAAGACCTACTGTGAGTTATGAACTGTATTTGGTGATGAGCATACAAACATGAAACAGAGTCCTGGATCCTGTGTCCTATCTCCAACAGTCTTCAACATTGCTGTCTCAGTCATAGGTTTTCTAAAACATAAGTCACTCTGCACTGAACTTTCTTCCTCCGTTCTCAATGCTAAGAAAAGAAGCCCAGACATAAAGGCCCTTCACAACATAGTTACTGCTTACTTTTCTTCTTTCCTGTTTTTACTTAGTCTTATACCCTGGGTTCTAGTGAAATCTCTGCCTCCCACTCAAAGGATGACTTCAGTGGAGGGACCATGCTCTCTTAAATTTCATTGTCATTACATATTATTCCGTCGTCCTAGAGTGGCTTTACTGACTTACTTCATTTTCTTATATCCTACTAGAACTTCAAGTATCAAATGAGATATCAATTCCTTTAGGAGATCTATTCTAATATCTGGGATTGGTGGTCCATTTTCATATTCCATAGGAGACAGTTCTTATGACTACTGTAGGGTCATAGCATCTATGTCCCCCTCTAGCCCATAAAATTCTTTTAGTCAGCTAACCCAGTGTCTGGCCAGGACATGCTCAAATATATTTTCTTGGAAGAATAAATGATTAAACAAATAACCCTAAGAGGTAGGTGATCGTGTTTCTCTCTCTATTTTATAGTTGAAGAAACATTAAAGATCTTATCCCAAACCTAGGATCAGTAGGTAAAACATACTCAGTTCTATGACTAAATCTCACACCATTTTCCACAGGAATACCTCATCATCTGATGCTCAGCAAAATTACTCATGGGGAGAAATACCAGTTCTACAAAAGCACCAAGGAGAAAAAGAGGTAAATTCTATGATTCGTGATCGTCTACCAATATAAAGCATGTTCTCAGGAGAAATGCAAGAGAAGGGAGCTGGGAAGTGGGGCACCCTTACAACTGAATTTTTAATGAATGAAATGACAAGCCATTTTCTCAGAGGAATAAGTGGCAATACCTATTTTGATACCTTCCACCATTTTTTTGCTGTTGATGCTTCTGAAAATGTGAGATTGGTCCCATACACTTTGCAGATTAGAAAATAAGTGCGTCTACTATATCTTTTCCAGAAGTCTTCTAAATTTCTTCCCTTTTTTTCTTTTAAAAATTAAAGCAGCTTTAGACACAGGTGACTTTGGACAGGGCCATTCGCCATCTGTGTGACTTTTTTGCCTTTGAAATAAATTTTATTTCGGCTGTTTTCTTCTCCTTTTAAAGGTAATTCTACTTAAGTTTTGACCAGGACATTTTAAAGTCTCTTAACTACTAAGAGCTTAGGCACTATATCATTGGCATATACTTATCACAAAATAATTTCCCAGCTCTTCATTATAAAATTTGCAAACATACAGGAAAGTTAAAAGGATAAACCAGATAGATTCCACATAAATTTGATGCTTGTAAGCGTTTTTCATGTATGTTTCATTATACTTCACTCCTAAATATTCCAGCATTGTTTCCCAAAACAAGAGAATTCTCTTATATAACTCCAGCATTCTTATCCTACTTGAGAAAACTAACAATAACACCCTAATTTCTTCTAATATCCAGTTTATTTTAAAATTTCCTGAGTTGCCTACAATAAGGTTTTACAATTTACAATAAGGTTTTACAATAAGATTTTACAATTTATTATTTAAGACTTGGATTCTCTTAAAGTTTATTAATTGCATTTGATTGTCATATCTCATTAGTCTATTGTAATCTCAAACAGTTCCAGTTTATTGTATTTGTTTTTCATGACATTGAATATTTTAAGAGTTGAGGTAAGTTATCTTGTGGAATATTCCCAATATGTGCTTTGTCTTATTATTTCCTTGTAGTGTCATTGAACTTGTTCCTCTCTTCCTGTGTTTTTTATAAACCAAGATTTGGAACGAATGCCTGGATGAGCTGTGGGTTAAAAGGTTTCAGCAATCACATTCCAGAGGTGAGAGTGTACTTCACATTGCAACACATCAGGAAGCAGATGATATTACTTGGTCTCACTAATAGTGATGCTAGGTTTGGCTATTTGGTTAAGGTTTTAGCCAATAGCCCTCTTCATTATAAAAATTAGTATCCCCTTTGAATATAGCAGACAATATTATGAGGTCATACTTTGACATATGAAGAGTATCCTTTAAAAACAGATTCACTTAATGCCTTTTACTTAATAGCTTTATTGTCCATTGATTAGTTATGATGAAATCAATTGTATCATTGAATTTTGCAGAAAGGGGAATTTTCTAATTGTATCATTTCTTTGATATTTATTACGCTTCATTAATCTGTGAAAAAGAATTTTCTCTCAACAACTAGTGATGTACTATAGATCTTTGCTAAAAAGGCAGAAAAAAGCTCAAATCTGTTTAATTATTAGTTTCAGAGTAAAATGTTGGCAGGATAGTAACCTCCATGTGCAGCAAAATTTTTTTTTTTTTAATTTGGGATTGACTTAAGGTTAGACAGTCTCTTCCTATAGATGCGTAGATGCACTGCCTCTAAACATAAGAGTAGAGAGGTTATTGGCTGTTAATAGTCAGAAAACATGGATTCAGATTCTAGATCTACAGCTTATGAGTTTTGTTACCAAGAGCAATCGACTGAAACTTTGTCAGTCTTATTATTCATTTATCCGGATATGTTCGTTGACAACTATTAAATACTGTGATGTGAATTAATCCTTTTTTGTGGGAATAATTCCATTTGGAGCCTCATGGAATTTATTAGGTTACAGCGTCTTCAGATTTTTTTTGTTTTTGTTGTTTAAAAATGATAAAATTTCCATGATGACTTCAGTGCAAACAGAGTCATATTTACAGTGAATATTAAGTTGTGACCTTTTATTTCCTATTCATTGGAAAGTGTTATAAATATAATTGCTTTTTAGGGGAATTCCTTCCTGTTCTGGCAGTCTTTGAGAAACAACTTTTTTCCTTGTAAATTATATTATGGTGTTTTTGATGGATACTTACCTACTTTGGGAAACTAACCACAGAACACCTGATAATATTTTTTTAAACAACACAGTCATAGTAAAAAAAAAAAGACACAAGACTTATTGCATAAATATTTTTTACGATAGTTTTCCAAGGAATTAGGAAAGAAAAATTGCCTGTATTTTCAAGTCAGATGCACTTGAAGCAAAAAGCTGTTCTCTGTGGAGAGTTTTATGTTTGCATTTCAAAAACTTGACATTCCTTTAAATTGTCTCATTTAATTTTTGTTAAATTACAGTGATACAGGAAGTTCACATTCTACCTTATGGTAGATCAAATGTGAACACCTGTTTAGATATTAGCATTAACTAAATTATAGTGACCTCGACTGGCCACATTAATGCTCATAGTTGGATCTCTACATTTCCAAGGAAAACGAAAATCACTAACCTTTTTTGAGAAAAACACTTAAAATATCACAATTTCAGTATTGCAATTATCAATGTAATTGATATGTAAAGTGCAATGTAAAGTGCATTTGATACTTAGTAATTAAAATTTTCCCAATTAATTCTTTTGAAAAACACCCTCTTCTAGCAAAATGTTTAATTAATTTGTTCTTTTTATAATGTCATGTGAAAAATTGTCAAACTGCCAGGAAATCAGTCAAAATGGATTTATAAAAATCTAATTATGATAATATTAATTAGTAATCACATTTTACTTTCACTGGCTTCTTTGCACATTTCTGGTAAGATTTCCACCTTTACTTTTTTCCAAAGTACAAATTTCCTCCTTCATCTTAGGAAGGAAGGATGAAAGAGAGTTAACTTCAGTGTAACTTTATGAATATTCTTTGGTCACCTTTTTCCCCAGTGAATGAAGTGAACATCTCCCTTTTTTATCTATGAGAGATTGACTAAATTATTACCAAGTGACAAAAATGCAAAATTATTATAACATATAAAAATATTTCATGCTTTAGTTTCCTACACTTGTTGCAACAAATAAATAAGTTTGGGAATGGAGTGGTCCAAACCATGCAGCATCATGAGCCTTTCTCACGTTAGAGAAGGATGATCATTAGAAAAAGAAAATCAAAAACTTCCACAGTCCCCATTTTCTAAGGCCATATTTTTCAAAATTCTCCAGACCCAAATGATACCATATTTTGATTCCACAATTTTGAGCAAAGTTCTGTAAGTGAGAGAGTTTAGGACACAAATTTCTTCTTTTGCTTTAACTTGTAACATGTGGTGGTGTCCATGAGCAGCTAAGATCTAGTCATAGCTGCAACATAAGTTGGGCTCTGAGGGTGAAAGAAATGGTTAGTTGTAGCTCTAGTCAATCTGAAAATAGATGAGGATGAAGGTATGAGGGATCAGCATACCTACAAACAGAAATCTGGGGCTAGTGACTCGCTCTGACTTAAGAATTACCAGAGGTCAATACCGTAATGACTGAGAAAACCTGTTGCTCTCAGGTTAAGACTGAAACTGGTAAGCCTATTACATGGTCTTGGGCTTTCCAACTTGGGAATTACCAAGCCAGTAGAACATAATGATGTAGGCTGTTGGTTCTGGGGAAAGACTACTAGTTCCTTCATTTATTCATCGTGTGGACTTTGTGAAAATTGCCTAACTTCTCTGTCTGTTAGTTTCTTGGAGGTAATAACAGCATTCCCTTAAAAGCTTATTAGGAATAATTGAGGTCATGTTTTTCAGGTGATTAGCATATGAAGCATGTTCAGTAAACGTTAGCCATCCTTGTTGTTGTTGTTACTCTGAGGTGTAACAAAAGTAGAACCTACCTAGGCTTAATGGCTGCAAGTTGTTACACCTGAGAGTGGTGCCAAGATCAGAAGGTATCATTTCACTATGACAGTCACTTCACTGTTTTCTGTAAATAATGTTACATGCTCTAGATGAGTTTGTCATTGGAGGGAGGTGGTCACAGCTTACAATCATTCTCCTCCTCCCTATTCACTCACTGGCTGGACAACATTTTCATGTTTTGGCTTCCTGTCCTGGATGCCACAATCTTATTCAAAAACAGAGTTTTATCAGAGACTCCTGATTCAGGGTGACATGCCTTTGAGTTTGTTGATGAAGACCACTATCAAGCAACCTCTTAAAGTTCTTTTGGTGCCTGGGCTTGAAAAGGAATACTGAGTAATCATTTAATTATTGCCTGATAGATTATGCACCTAGCAAAATGTTATAATTATTCTGTTATTGGAGTCAAAGAAAATCTTTGTTCCTATGGGTAGTAGTTGCCTGAATTCCTTTTGTATTCTCTTATTGTATAACCTTGTTGAAATAACTCCTGAATTTTCTCTAAGCCATACTCCTTATCCAAATGCAATGATGCTTTCTTCTCCCCACACTCTGCTGAAAAGTACTTACAGATTTTTTCAAAGTCTTTGAGGCAATGTCCAAATAGAAAGGATTGTGGAGTTTAAGTAATTCTAACACTTTGAACAGGAGGAAAATAATGAAGTTATGGGTCAAATGTGTGGACAATCTATCATCTTACCAAAGATGCGAAGTGAACATCTCAAAGATAGCTGATTTTTGCAAATCTCTTCTACGTTGTCAAAACAAGGTTATTCTGTTGGCATTTCTATCTAAGAGATAATTGGAAGAAAATCACCAAGAAGTAAGTTGAGAAGAAGGTGGGAAATTGCAGTATCATATATACTCAAACTAGTATTTTTTCAAATGGTAAAATTATTATGTGACATTTGGGCCTGTAATATGAAGAGGTAAACATTAGATATGTGCTAGTCAGTTTTTTTTACAATGAATAGTTTCTTTTCTTCAGAGAAACATTCGGCTGTAGTTGTCTCTCTTTCTCGCTCTCTCTCTCAAATAATCACACGCACAATTTAGGTACATGAACTTTTGAATAGGTAGTACCTTTACATGTTACAAAATTCGAAAAAGTTCAAAAAAGATTAACAACTTTAAAAAACTAAGCTTTTTTCCCACATTTGTCTTCCCAGACCCTAAATTCCTCTTCAGAGACAAGTATTATGAACATTTCTTGCAGTCTTCTAGACCCATCTGTGTGCAAACGTGTGCTCACACATTGTATGTGATTCCATTACTAATGTCTGATGTGGGCCCACTGTTTAAAATTCCCGTTGTATTTCACAGCCATCTATCCATGTCAATGAATACAAATTCACATTTAAAGCTGCAAATATATGCCGGGAGACTAATACCCGAGGAAGGAGGGAACTGAAGGAATTTCCCCATGTGTCTCCTTAGTACTAACAATAGTAGGCTCAGAGGAAGCTCACGTCTTGTGAGTAGATGCACACAAACGCACACACACATGCACTCACATACACAGTTGCATAGCTTCGAGGTCTCCGTAGCCTCAAAGGAGGGAACTGAAGGAATTTCCCCATGTGTCTCCTTAGTGCTAACAATAGTAGGCTCAGAGGAAGCTCACATCTTGTGAGTAGATGCACACAAACGCACACACACATGCACTCACATGCAGAGTTGCATAGCTTCGAGGTCTCCGTAGCCTCAAAGGTTTGGTTCAGGTTGGTCTCAAATACAGCCCAGTTTCCCTCTTCGAGTACAGATACATAATTTTTGGAGAGCAACATCTCTTACTATTGCTTCCAGTGAAAAACACATTTAATGCACTTTGTATATTTTGTAAGCTTTATTCAAACGTGCTATTTGTGTAGCCGTTCTGTTGTTTCTTTTTCCTTTTCTAGTCCTTGAACCACTGTAAAGTGAGTCTCCAATAAATAAAATTACATCAATAACAAAATCTGATCTTTAGAAATTATGAAGCTTTCCAAAGCTGACTTCATGTTTATTTCTTGTTGGTATTACCGTGCCATATAACAACAAATTATTACCTAAAGCCATAAATTTCTCACATGAGCTAACTGATGTAAATTATTAATAGTGCTAAAAGCAGGACATTCATTTTACAAGCTCTACTAAGGTTTAATAGTGGCAATTGCCATTATTTAATTTACTAA